TAAGATAATGGGTCTAGAGAAGATGAAAATTTTACTTTCGATAAATGAAGCTGATGTCTTTAATGAGATGAATGTGAATGAAAATTTGAATATGGAACATAATTTCATTTCGGAAGTCATGAATGTCTATATTTACGTATTTTAAACTTCAAAACATAGAAATGAAGAAGAAATATGGAGAGGCATAATACTCTGCCCCCCCCTCTCCGAGCGCTGCTTCTGCTTGTGTCTTAGAATGATTTGGTTTCATTCCTTTGTAAGAATTGTTATATGCAAGACTATTTTTTTCATTTCATTTCATTTATTTTTTTCATATTTCTCATGTTACATATACATTTCCAAATAAAGTACAAGTTGTTTTTTGTGTGATACAATAACAATCTATTGATACATAATAAATAACATAAAGATAACTGGTCAATATAGAGTACTGATTTAACTGAGAGAAATATGATGGGACCTACATGAAAGGAAGCTTGTAAATTTGTAGGCCCCAGTGAAATAGTTTGTGGTAATGAATGGAGGACGGATATAAATAGTGACTAGTCCAAATGAATCAACAACAACAAATGAAATAATAAAGAAGCATGCGGTGGTGCTTTTTATATTGTTCCTCCCTTTTTTACAATGTAGACACAAGTACACGTACTTAAATGATTGTACAATGGGTGCCTTCAATGTTGGATTAACATATCTGAAAGAAAACACGAAAGCCTTCAACATTTTATACCATAAAGATGGAACAATAATGTATATGATGGACAGCGTAAGTGGTAGATATATATAGATAGTTATTGAATTTTGATAATAGTATTTGTACGCACAATGTCTCAGAGGAATATTGCAAATACAAGCAAATCTAGTTCAATGATAGCTTTGGTTTATTGACTCGAAACCAGAACTCTTTCAACTCTTTATTTGTTTATTTATTTATTTATACATGGTTCATAACAATGCATAGTATGATCAAGATAAACATAAACAAACGATATCATTAGACTTACAAAGGCAATAACAATCATGACACATTTGAATAAATATTGCATGGGGAAACACACAGAAGTCTTTCAATATATATAGATAGATAGATTCTTTTATTGATCCATATTCAAAACATAGAAAATTGGCCTCCACTGGCAGCACATAAACAAATACAATGTAGTTTCAAAATCATTGATAACCACATAATGTACATAAATTCACACGAGATTCATGACATAATATGTATATATATATATAATTATATATTGATATATATACACATGTATATGGCTAAGGTTTTAGACGTTGTCACACATATACCATTCAATTTAACATGTATTCTTTAAAGGTAGAGACCAGTTTTGGAAACGTCCCCCTCTCAAAAAATGAAATGGAATCTTTTATTACTAATCATGTGAAAGGATATGTTTTGACTAATACGTGATGATACAAATTTTGCCGGGAAACCGCCTATATATATTTGGTAAATTATTATATCTAACCGGACTGGATAGCTATCATAGGGTAGTCTCATTTACATCTTTTTGTGTACAGTGCTTGTAACTTACCAAGACTGGGCCAACATTCTTATCATTTTGATGATTCGAGAACCTTGCAGTACATATCAATACTTATATGCTAGATGATCAACCTTTTCTGATCAATTCCACAACGTTTCTTTCACAATGCAATCGCATGACCAGAACTGGTCTATACCTTTAAGTGATACAATCCGAACATAATACATTTGCTAAATACTACTTGCAATAGAAAACTGTCTACAAAAATGTGTTATGTTCAACAGATATAAAACATTTACCACTCATTTTTGTTCACGGTCATTGCATCTTGACGTCATTCATATGCCATTCTATAAAATATTCAACACTTGTTTCATGATTTCAATTTAAAGTCATTTCTTTACCATGTTTGGCATATTGACAGTTTTATTACATGGTAAGATTAGTCAACGCAATTGTACACGAATATTTGCAGTTTTCTAGGGTACCAGAGGAAAATTGTTCCCTAACGAGGTTTATTTACAGGTTATATGGGGGTCCCATATCTGATGAATGAAATGGTACGCTACGCTCATTAAAAAACTTCGCCTATGAATTAATGTCGGCTCTTACAACTGAAGAACCAAAAATCACGTTTCCCGAAGGAGGTGATCTGAGAATTGAAAATTCAAAAGACTAAACTTTGCCGATCATATCAGGGCCCCGTCTGATAAAGAGTTGATATTAATCGCAACTATTTACATAAGAGATAGGGGACTGAGAACTTGCGATTGATTAGCAGACTTGCGTTTGATTAGCAGAGTTGCGATTAATTGGATAAATCGCAACTCTTTATAAGGCGGGGCCCAGGTCTGTTGCCAATACCTGATGAGTGACAAATCATGCTTCTCTTTTGGCTCCACTTTCAAAAATGCATTGGGCTTTTCTTTTCTTTTCTTTTGTTAGAATTTTTTTTCCTCATGCTATTTTTAACAATCCTACTTTATTTCGTTTGAATCTGGAAACCGTAGTTTACCCACGAAATTCCCTTTTTTCAGGGAGTTTTCTTCTTTCTTGTTGGTGAGGCAATATTTAGTTCCATAAAAATTAAAATGAGATTAATGATAACTTGGAGTATTGTGGAACAAGCTCCCAGACTATAGGAGGTCCATGAACCATTATCGAATGGAAAAGGACGCATGCACACAAATGTGCGCCTCTAGTGTCCCATATAAGAACCGACGCATGTCACAGACTAGGTGTTGTGGCATGCACCTGTAATCCAGCTAAAAGTGGAAGTTACAAACTGATTCAACCGAGGACGCAGGTTCGAAACTGAGTCACGTCTTTCGGATGGTGACGTTTAAAGGTCGGTCCCCAGACGTCAATAATCATATCTGATTGATACACGTTTGTAAATACCCAATACACACACCCACACACAGAGACACTCGTCGCCATTTCACACGAAGTCAGCGCCATCCCCTATAAATATGCGGCACCATCTCAGATAGAAATGAGCACTTTCACATATGAAATCTTTGCCACAAAGCTACGATAAAAGTCGGCGCCATCGTACATGAAGTTAACGCCATTTCCCGAATTGACGCCATTTGTTGAAACCTAGGCCATCCTCTATACGAAAAATCAGGCAACACTTTAATACAAAAATTGTGCCATATCTAACATAAAATCTGCGACGCTAGTCTCCCATAAAAATCGGTGCCATTTCAATAACATTGACACAATGATTTTTAAGTACAACAGAGAATAAGCCTAGAATATGTTTGAAACTCGATGGACATATCATTGAGCAAATCAGTAATTACATCTACTTAGGACAAAATATCACAGATGGTGCCAGATGCGAAGCAGAAATAAAAAGAAGAATAGAATTTGCTCGGAATACATTTCTGGCAATGAAAGGATTATTCACAAATAGAAAGGTGAAATTTGCGCTTAGGTTGAGACTAGTAAACTGTTATGTATAGTCTGTCCTACTGTTTTGAGCAGAAACATGGACAATAAACAAGACCATGGAAAATAGAATAACATCTTTTGAAATGTGGATCTACAGAAGAATGATGAAAATATCCTGGAAACGAATGAAAACCAACAAAGAGATATTGCACATGGCAGGGCGTAAACAAATTGCACTAGTAGGATTAGTTCAGGAGAGAAAAATCAAATACTTTGGTCATGTTAAAAGGCACCAAAGCCTCTTAAAGGATGTATTGGAAGGAAGAGTGGAAGGAAGTAGACCTAGAGGGAGAGCCAGAATCAACTGGGAAGAGAATGTCAAGAACTGGAGTGGACTAAAACTGCAAGAGTGCACCATAATGGCAGAAGATAGAATGAAATGGAGAGATGTTGCAATCAACCTCCGAACCGGGAGAAGATACTCAGGTAAATAGATAGAATGTAATGAAACCAAGGCGGTCCTCCATACCAAAATAATCGGCACCGTCTTACATACAATCTGCGCCGTTAGCCTCCCATAAAATATGGTGCCATTTCACCGAAAATCGGCGCTTTTTCGCATGAATTTGGCGTCTTCGCTTATAATTGGCCTATATCTACACGTGGACAAACGTTAGTACATTGTACGTATATATATCTTAGCGCTCAATCAGCAAATCGGTATTCTGAAAGGTCACTTAAGTGCCCTTTTCAAGTTAGCACGAGGTGCTTTGTGCGTATGCTTTCAAGTACGGTTATGGAGTGCGCGAAGTAGTTAAATGCGGAGTTAAAAGAAGTTTGCTATTCTGAAAACTGCATTAGCAGTCAATTAATTTCAAAAAGATAAAAGATCTTTTAGGCCCTTCGCATTTAAAGGACACTACGCTCTTTTCCTGTATTTTCATGTTAAGTAGATGATGTTCAATCGAAAGGATGACACGTTTGATTAAATTAGAATTTCCTTATTCATTTCATTACGACAGAGCGGTGTCAATTATACTTTTAAAACATTTGGTGGGTGTTTCAAGTGAAGCAAATTCAAATTATCACACGGCCCTCTGAAACCAAGTCTCACGATCTATGGTTAACTTTACAACTTTCCTATGTCGAAGTTGGCGAGCGTATTCATCCCTTGCTTTGCTACAGCGCATATGATTGGTAGAAACGGACTAAAAAGAAGGAGTGGGCATTTTTTAATTCAAATGTAGAGTACCGCTCACGACTGAAAGGAAAAGCTAAGTGAGATTTCAGAATGCCAATTGGATGTATATTACCACCTGCTTAACATCAAGCATTAAACGAAAGTTAAATAAGCTTTCAGAATACCGCCCCTGGTAGATTTTTGAATTCTTGTAATTCTGCTCAAACCAAATATAATAACACGTTAGGGATGCAGAATAAGTATTACACGATACAAAGAACGTAACAAATAAAAAGAATATATACATTTTTACAAACATGGTGGCTTACGCAACACCTACAAGTTCGCGTTATGATATTTAGCCCGTATAGTTGATAGGAAAAAAAGTTATTATGCTGCGAATGTTACACAGAATACACCTAATCCACGTACTTGTCTACAAGTCCTCCTGCGTCTACCTGGATGAGGATTGCATTTAAATCCTTTCTGGTCCGAGTTGATGCAGCTTTCCATTTTTGAAGGAGGTGTATGTACTGCTCAGTTATCTGTCTATAATCATGTCTGATACCTTCAGCGGTGCTGTAATCGATGCCAAGAGCAACGTAAAGAGGGCTCCACTGATTAGGTGGTAGAAGCCTTGCTAGTTTCAGGATATTCTTATCTGTCACTTTCTGTTCATCTGGACTGAAATTTAAGAATTGTATTATGCTGAGGCAAAAAGGTTACTGATTCTTTTTAATTCACTCCCCCAGAGAAGAAATACATCTTAACTCTTCGAAACTGTATTATTAAAATATTTACATAAGTAGATTACGAAGTGAACTTGCAACAGAACGAGAAAGGAAACGTGCTTTTAATAAACAGTGAAGTCGCGGCTCGGGCCGAAATTGGCCATAATTTTTGGTATGGTGTTTTCAAGTGTCCCTCTTGGAATGATTTTCGAGATTTCTTCTTGAGTATGTGAAAGCCTTGAGATTGATCAAAATCAACAGACATTCTTGCTGACAACACATGCACTTCGGACAAATATTTTGTCCAAACCTTTCTGATATTTCTTGTAATATTTCAAGTAAAAGGGGCATTTGAAGAGCAATCCGTTTCAAGCATAATTTCTACCAAGATATTCATCTACCCTCATACAAAGATTGAGAACGCTCACAAAGTGTTTTTATTTTTTATCTGGGCCCTGTCTTACAAAGAAGTGCGATTGATTTGGATCAATCGCAAGCCCTCTAATCAATCGCACGTTTAAAGTCTCCTATCTCTTATGTACATAGTTGCGATTGATATCAACCGCAGAAAAGTTGCGATTAATGTGAACTCTTTGTAAGACAGGGCCCAGAACTCAGCCTGCTCTTTGAAATAATATATTATAGATTGTATACATACCCTGATAGCGTTGACACCCCTGCTGATTGTGATGGTGCATCCATGTCACAGAATGCTGCTTCTGCTGCTGTTTTCATCGCCACGTTTGTTGTTTCTGTTGTTTTTATACCATTATTTAAAAAAAAGTAACGAGATGTGAGTTTGGGAATTAATGAAAAACAAGGTCCATTCCGGTCAATGTCATGAAAAAACAGAGTGTAACAAGTTTAAGGCTGGTCTTAGAGCAATTTTAGCATACAACTTAAAAGACAGGTATTTATAATTGCTACTCTTTAAGAGATGCTATGGGGGTCGCTTCTATCATTTCAGGTCCTGAACTCTTCCAAATGCCTGATTTACAGTAGACGTGCGTGAATAACTAAACACTCATATTAAGATTACTTGTGTACTCGTGTAGTGATATCAAATAGAAGAGTATTAACTGTAGAAAAGGTAGAAATGTGTCACATGACACATACATCTTGAACTTTAAATAAATGTATCATGTTATGGTTATACTTAAAGATGAAGTTGAGTTCTGGTCATGCGATTGCATTGTGAAAGAAACTGTGTGGAATCGACCAGAAAAGGTTGATCATCTAGCGTATAAGAATTTGTGTTATTGCAAGGTTCTGGAATCATCAAACTGATAAGAAATTTGGCCAAGTCTTGGTAAAGTTACAAGCACTGTACAGGCAAAAAGCCGATCACAGAACCTGTCTCATGAAAATGCATTTGTGTAGAAAATGAATGGGGAAAAAGATGGGTCAGAATGAAGTATGTCAGATGGGTCAGAAAGAAGTGGTACAGTAAATGGAAATACCCATAAATATCACAGATAGCAAAACAGAACGTTGCAAACTTGATACTGCACACTACTTCTTTAAGTTTCAGATGTTTACAATCATAGCTTCTTTTAAAGTCCCTCTTACGTTATTCCCCGCTAATAATATTTATAAATACGTTGTCCGATGTTAAAAATAGGCTGTTGGAAAGCAAATTTTTTTTACTTTTATAGATTCATTCATGTTTTGCTGCTTCGCATTCGCATTTGAAATAAATTTCATTCTTAAAGGCAGACCCGTATCATACACGAAGTTGTGTTTAATTTTTTGGACATGTTTACAATAATAGCTCCTTCTCAAGTACCTCCAACGACGTTAATTCGCGCTAATAATATTTATAATTGATTTTATTTATTTATTTTATTTATTAGTCTTTTTTTAGAAGGGTGGCTCCATCAGTAGTTAAATACTGTTTTCCGTGGAGGCCCTACAACATAAATACAAAATTTACAACCATATTGATGTAAACAATCCAAATCGAAACTAAAATGAACTTATTTACGACATTTTCGAACAAAAGAAAGAAACAAAAACAACACAATGGACCAGTTCAATGATTTAAATTATTATAACGCCAAAACAAAAGAGTAAATGATGCATTTGATGGCGCATTTCTTAAAAAATAGGTAAACTATTCCAAAAAGCCGCACCATCAAATGAAAAACTTTGGGTAAAATTAATCCTGCGTTTTGTGTGCTGCGCGTTCTAATGTTATGTACAGATTGGGTTATTTGAAACATTTGTAAAATAAAGACAGGAGTTTGATTTTCAAAAACAGAGTAAATCATTTTACATTTGAAATAATTCCACCATTTTGAATGCTTACCCACTTAAGTTTATTAAAATTCCTTGAGTTGGGCTTCTTACATTGGCCTCCAAGAATACTCTGGCCATTTTCTTTTGTTGTTTAATGATTACATCTCAAACATTGTGTGAACAATTAGACCATGTATTACAACAATTTTCAAATAAAGGCAACATTAATGCATTGGCAAGAAGCTTCAGTCCCTCCAAAGGTAGGTATCTTTTTGAACGACCAAGTAATGCTATCCTTGACCCTATCTTTTTACTTGTTTTTTTTTTAGTCACGTGTTCTTTCCAGCTCAATGCTGGATCTAGCCAGACTCCTAAGTATTTATAGGTATTAACCTGAAAGATTTGGTGTTGCTCGAGTTGAATGCAAATAGATTTTTCAAGTTAAGTCAATTTCATTTGTGAACTAAATAACATAAATTCATTTTTGTGTGGTTTAATGCCAGATTGTTTTCTTTTACCCACTCATAAACTAGTTTCAAATCAAAGTTCAAGGCCGATTCAATGTCCTCACTTCTTTGACTACTATAAAACAGTACAAAATCGTCTGCATATAACATCGCTTGGCATTTGGATACTACCACAATAGCAGGCCTATACAATTGGCGCCTTGTGGTACGCCTGACAAAGTCGTACCCCAATCTGATTCAAATTGTCCAAGTAGAACCTTTTGTTTCCGATCAGTCAAGTATTCCATGAACCAATTAATTTCTTGACTCGGTATACCGTACTTAAAGAGAAGATTGAGTTCTGGGAAGATCTGAAAAATAATGTGTGAGCGTTATTATTGTTATAATGCAAGTGTGAAAGAACATCAGATAAAACATGTTCCCTAAAAAGCATGGCTCTTTAAATGCCGTCATATTCTAAAAATGGCATGTAACATCGTAAAAATCGGCACGGATTTTTACGCCACGTGTTCGTGTAGTCCCATATACATCTTTCCGTGTACAGTGCTTGTAACTTTCCCTTTAATACAAAAATGTATCATGGTAACCATGGTACTTTTGACCAAATTACCATCCACCATGGTAACCGTGGTTATCATGGTACCAAAACAATGAAATACATTGGGTCATTAAACAATGTTTTTTCATTGTTTCGGTACCATGATAACCATGGTTACCATGGTGGATAGTAATTTGGACAAAAGTACCGTGGTTACCATGGTACATTTTTGTAATGGTTACCAAGACTTGGCCAAATTTCTTATCATTGTGATGGTTTCAGAACCTTGCAATACACACAAATACTTATATGCTAGATGATCAACCTTTTCTGATCGATTTCACACCGTTTCTTTCACAATGCAATTGCATGACCAGAACTCAACTTCATCTTTAAATAGCTTTTCTAACAGTATTTTGCGATCCACAGAGTCGAAAGCCTTGCGCAGGTCTATGAAGACTGCGCCTGTCGTGTCACCCTTGTCTATTAAGCTTATCCCTATGTTAAAAAATAGGCTGTTGGAAAGGAAACACAATCTACTTTAAAGCGAACCGGTAACATTGATGAAGGTTGGTGAAAAACTGCCTAACTTTTTTTTATGAAATATAACTTATTATATTCCTTCTACTGTTCTAACGCTCTAACATGCAAAACATCCTGGAACAAATTCCAAACCACAAAGATTTTTATTTGAAGGCGTCAATGTGTAACTTCCTCTAACAGTAAATCCCCCAAACAAATTTTGGAATTATCCCAACTGTTTTTCGATAAGAGATAAAACAGGCTTTAAAAAATCTCTGAACACTTGAAATGTTTGGAATGATATTTAAAGCCATATCGTTGCTTTGTGACGATTTACATTCACTTGAAATTAAAATTTTTATTGTATTAATATAGTTGGGAGAATTTAAAAATCGATTAGATCAGTTATTCCCCACGAAAATCAATAATAATGGTCGGATTTCACTCAGAATATCAGATTTAATGATTGTACATCTAACATTGAGGTCAATTCCTTAGCACTATTTTCACTTATATGAACAATGTTACCAAGTCCATTTAATTTCATTCGTGGTTTGCTGATTCGCAATCGAATATAAAAAATAATTATAATTTTAAAAACAAACCCGTATCACTCGCGAAGTTCTTGACCTCAGCTCCTTTGGTGAAAAGATATTTGGTGACATCAAGAAGACCTTTGAAAGCAGCATCGCGTAATGAAGTCGAACCGTCATTATCTCCCTTATTCACCCCAGTTCCTTGACTGGTGAGATATTTGGTGACATCAAGATGACCCTTGTTTGCAGCACTGCGTAATGCAGTCCTTCCGAAACTGTCTCTCTTATTCACCTCAGCTCCTTGGCTGATGAGATATTTGGTGACATCAAGGTGACCATTGTTGGCAGCACTGCGTAATGCAGTCCTTCCGAAACTGTCTCTCTTATTCACCTCAGCACCATGGCTAATGAGATATCTGGTCACATCAGGATGACCCTCGTAAGCAGCAAGGCTTAATGCAGTCCAACCGTCATTGTCTCCCATATTGACCTCAGCTCCTTGGCTGATGAGATATTTGGTGACATCAAGATGACCATTCCTTGCAGCAAGAATCAACGCAGTCCCACCCCTATTATCTCTTCTATTCACCTCAGCTCCTTGGCTGATGAGATATTTAGTGAAATCAAGAAGACCTTTGAAAGCAGCATCGCGTAATGCAGTCGAACCGTCATTATCTCCCCTATTCACCTCAGCTCCTTGGCTGATGAGATATTTGGTGACATCAAGGTGACCATTGTTGGCAGCACTGCGTAATGCAGTCCATCCGAAACTATCTCCCTTATTCACCTCAGCTCCTTGGCTGATGAGATATTTGGTGACATCAAGATGGCCCGCTTGAGCAGCAAGGATTAATGCAGTCCAACCGTCATTATCTCCCCTATTTACCTCAGCTCCTTGACTAATGAGATATTTCGTGACGTCTAGATGACCATGGAAAGCAGCATCATGTATGGCAGGCCTACCGTCATGTTCTCCCTTATTCACCTCAGCTCCTTGACTGATGAGGTATTTCGTGACGTCAAGATGACCTTTGTTGGTAGCATTGTGAAATGCAGTCGTACCCACATTATTTCCCATATTGACCTCAGCTCCTTGGCTGATGAGATATTTGGTGACATCAAGATGACCCTTCCTTGCAGCAAGAATCAACGCAGTCCCAGCCCCATTATTTCCCCTATTCACCTCAGTTCCTTGGCTGATGAGATATTTGGTGACATCAAGGTGACCATTGTTGGCAGCACTGCATAATGCAGTCCTTCCGAAACTGTCTCTCTTATTCACCTCAGCTCCTTGGCTGATGAGATATTTGGTGACATCAAGGTGACCATTGTTGGCAGCAAGGCTTAATGCAGTCCAACCGTCATTGTCTCCCATATTGACCTCAGCTCCTTGGCTGATGAGATATTTGGTGACATCAAGATAACCATTCCTTGCAGCAAGAATCAACGCAGTCCCACCCCTATTATCTCTTCTATTCACCTCAGCTCCTTGGCTGATGAGATATTTAGTGAAATCAAGAAGACCTTTGAAAGCAGCATCGCGTAATGCAGTCGAACCGTCATTATCTCCCCTATTCACCTCAGCTCCTTGGCTGATGAGATATTTGGTGACATCAAGGTGACCATTGTTGGCAGCACTGCGTAATGCATTCCATCCGAAACTATCTCTCTTATTCACCTCAGCTCCTTGGCTGATGAGATATTTGGTGACATCAAGGTGACCATTGTTGGCAGCAAGGCTTAATGCAGTCCAACCGTCATTGTCTCCCATATTGACCTCAGCTCCTTGGCTGATGAGATATTTGGTGACATCAAGATGACCCTTCCTTGCAGCAAGAATCAACGCAGTCCCACCCTTATTATCTCTTCTATTCACCTCAGCTCCTTGGCTGATGAGATATTTAGTGAAATCAAGAAGACCTTTGAAAGCAGCATCGCGTAATGCAGTCAAACCGTCATTATCTCCCCTATTCACCTCAGCTCCTTGGCTGATGAGATATTTGGTGACATCAAGGTGACCATTGTTGGCAGCACTGCGTAATGCAGTCCATCCGAAACTATCTCCCTTATTCACCTCAGCTCCTTGGCTGATGAGATATTTGGTGACATCAAGATGACCCGCTTGAGCAGCAAGGATTAATGCAGTCCAACCGTCATTATCTCCCCTATTTACCTCAGCTCCTTGACTAATGAGATATTTCGTGACGTCTAGATGACCATTGAAAGCAGCATCATGTATGGCAGGCCTACCGTCATGTTCTCCCTTATTCACCTCAGCTCCTTGACTGATGAGGTATTTCATGACGTCAAGATGACAATTGTTGGTAGCATTGTGAAATGCAGTCGTACCCACATTATTTCCCTTATTCACCTCAGCACCATGGCTGATGAGATATTTGGTGACATCAGGATGACCCTGGTAAGCAGCAAGGCTTAATGCAGTCCAACCGTCATTGTCTCCCATATTGACCTCAGCTCCTTGGCTGATGAGATATTTGGTGACATCAAGATGACCCTTCCTTGCAGCAAGAATCAACGCAGTCCTACCCCCATTATTTCTTCTATTCACCTCAGCTCCTTGGCTGATGAGATATTTAGTGATATCAAGATGACCATCGAAAGCAGCATCGCGTAATGCAGCCGAACCGTCATTATCTCCCTTATTCACCCCAGTTCCTTGACTGGTGAGATATTTGGTGACATCAAGATGACCCTTGTTTGCAGCACTGCGTAATGCAGTCCTACCTTCATTATCTCCCCTATTCACCTCAGCTCCTTGGCTGATGAGATAGTTGGTGACATCAAGGTGACCATTGTTGGCAGCACTGCGTAATGCAGTCATTCCGAAACTATCTCCCTTATTCACCTCAGCTCCTTGGCTGATGAGATATTTGGTGACATCAAGATGACCCGCTTGAGCAGCAAGGATTAATGCAGTCATTCGGAAAATATCTCCCCTATTTACCTCAGCTCCTTGACTAATGAGATATTTCGTGACGTCTAGATGACCATGGAAAGCAGCATCATGTATGGCAGGCCTACCGTCATGTTCTCCCTTATTCACCTCAGCTCCTTGACTGATGAGGTATTTCGTGACGTCAAGATGACCATTGTTGGTAGCAAGGTAAAATGCAGTCGTACCCACATTATTTCCCTTATTCACCTCAGCACCATGGCTAATGAGATATTTGGTGACATCAGGATGACCCTCGTAAGCAGCAAGGCTTAATGCAGTCCAACCGAAATTGTCTCCCATATTGACCTCAGCTCCTTGGCTGATGAGATATTTGGTGACATCAAGATGACCCTCCCTTGCAGCAAGAATCAACGCAGTCCCACCCCCATTATCTCTTCTATTCACCTCAGCTCCTTGGCTGATGAGATATTTAGTGGTATCAAGAAGACCTTTGAAAGCAGCATCGTGTAATGCAGTCCAACCTTCATTATCTCCCCTATTCACCTCAGCTCCTTGGCTGATGAGATAGTTGGTGACATCAAGGTGACCATTTTTGGCAGCACTGATTAATGCAGTCATTCCGAAACTATCTCCCTTATTCACCTCAGCTCCTTGGCTGATGAGATATTTGGTGACATCAAGATGACCATTGAAAGCAGCATCACGTAATGCAGTCCTACCGTTATTATCTCCCTTGTTCACCTCAGCTCCTTGGCTGATGAGATAGTTGGTGACATCAAGGTGACCATTGTTGGCAGCACTGCGTAATGCAGTCATTCCGAAAATATCTCCCCTATTCACCTTAGCTCCTTGGCTGATGAGATATTTGGTGACATCAAGATGACCCTCCCTTGCAGCAAGAATCAACGCAGTCCCACCCCCATTATTTCTTCTATTCACCTCAGCACCATGGCTAATGAGATATTTGGTGACATCAGGATGACCCTCGTAAGCAGCAAGGCTTAATGCAGTCCAACCGAAATTGTCTCCCATATTGACCTCAGCTCCTTGACTGGTGAGATATTTGGTGACATCAAGATGACCCTCCCTTGCAGCAAGAATCAACGCAGTCCCACCCCCATTATCTCGTCTATTCACCTCAGCTCCTTGGCTGATGAGATATTTAGTGATATCAAGGTGACCATTGTTGGCAGCACTGAGTAATGCAGTCATTCCGAAACTGTCTCCCTTATTCACCTCAGCTCCTTGGCTGATGAGATATTTGGTGACATCAAGATGACCCGCTTGAGCAGCAAGGATTAATGCAGTCATTCGGAAAATATCTCTCCTATTTACCTCAGCTCCTTGACTAATGAGATATTTCGTGACGTCTAGATGACCATGGAAAGCAGCATCATGTATGGCAGGCCTACCGTCATGTTCTCCCTTATTCACCTCAGCTCCTTGACTGATGAGGTATTTCGTGACGTCAAGATGACCATTGTTGGTAGCATTGTGAAATGCAGTCGTACCCACAATATTTCCCTTATTCACCTCAGCACCATGGCTAATGAGATATTTGGTGACATCAGGATGACCCTCGTAAGCAGCAAGGCTTAATGCAGTCCAACCGAAATTGTCTCCCATATTGACCTCAGCTCCTTGGCTGATGAGATATTTGGTGACATCAAGATGACCCTCCCTTGCAGCAAGAATCAACGCAGTCCCACCCCCATTATCTCTTCTATTCACCTCAGCTCCTTGGCTGATGAGATATTTAGTGGTATCAAGAAGACCTTTGAAAGCAGCATCGTGTAATGCAGTCCAACCTTCATTATCTCCCCTATTCACCTCAGCTCCTTGGCTGATGAGATAGTTGGTGACATCAAGGTGACCATTTTTGGCAGCACTGATTAATGCAGTCATTCCGAAACTATCTCCCTTATTCACCTCAGCTCCTTGACTTATCAGATATTTCGTGACATCAAGATGACCATTGTTGACAGCACTGTGAATTGCAGTTCCATCCACATTATTTCCCGCATTCACCTCACTTCCTTGGCTGATGAGATATTTTGTGACATCAAGATGACCCTCCTGAGCAGCAACAATCAACGCAGTCCAACCGTCACCACCTCTCCTATTCACCTCAGCTCCTTGGCTGATGAGATATTTGGTGACATCAAAATGACCCTCCTGAGCAGCAACGTGAAATGCAGTCCAGCCGTCATTATCTCCCCTATTCACCCCAGCTCCTCGGCTGATGAGATATTTCACTACATCAAGTTTACCGTACCTTGCTGCAATGTATAAAGGAGTCCATCCTTTAGTATTGCCCTGATTCACTTTTGCCCCCTGACTGATAAAGTATCGTACTATATCAAGATGACCATTCCTTACAGCGCTGCATATTGCAGAGTAGCCGTCCTTGTCTTCTTTGTCCATATTAGCTTCATGGCTGATGAGATATTTCATGACATCAAGATGACCCTTCTGAGCAGCACTGTATAATGCAGTCCTACCCATGTTATTTCCCTTATTGACCTCAGCTCCTTGGCTGACGAGATATTTCACTATATCAAGTTTACCGTACCTTGCTGCAATGTATAAAGGAGTCCAGCCTTTAGTATTGCCCTGATTCACTTTTGCCCCCTGACTGATAAAGTATCGTACTATATCAAGATGACCATTCCTTACAGCGCTGCATATTGCAGAGTAGCCGTCCTTGTCTTCTTTGTCCATATTAGCTTCATGGCTGATGAGATATTTCATGACATCAAGATGACCCTTCTGAGCAGCACTGTATAATGCAGTCCTACCCATGTTATTTCCCTTATTGACCTCAGCTCCTTGGCTGACGAGATATTTCACTATATCAAGTTTACCGAACCCTGCTGCAATGAATAAAGGAGTCCATCCTTTAGTATTGCCCTGATTCACTTTTGCACCCTGGCTGACAAAGTATCGTACTATATCAAGATGACCATTCTTCACAGCGCTGTATAATGCAGAGTAGCCGTCCTTGTCTTCTTTGTCAATATTAGCTCCACGGCTGAGTATGAATGTTATTGCTTTAAGACGTCCGAGTGATGCAGAAAGATGTAAGGGTGTTTGTCCATCTGGAGTCGCCTTCTCCACATCAGCTCCATGATTTATGAGATACTCGATGACATTCTCATGGCCATTCTGGAGCGCTATGTGTAACGGTGTGTTTCCATTTTGGTTTGTCTGATTAATGTTTGAACCAAGTTTTAACAAACTTTCTACGGCTTCAAGATTACCCCGCAACACTGCATCGTGGATCTCTTGATTCACATCATCCATATTTGATAATGTCTCGCGGCATCACTGGATCAGTAAGTTCTCTGGTCGCAGAGGATTATGTCCTATACATCTCTTCACTGTGTAATCAGAGAATGCCCAGAGTAACATCAGATTCGTTTGTCATCGAAGCTCGGTCTGTTTGAACTGTGCATAGAAAAAAACGGAATACATGTAGATCAAAACTGCACACGACTAAACAAATTAAAAGTTAATCGTAAAGCCTGGTGATAACGATTCTTATTATAAGTGACAAACTTGCATAGAAGTGATAACAAAATTGAACTTTAGATTGATAACTCTCTGCAAATATCAATATTAACCAAGGCACCATACCTACAAGCATTTCTTGTTTAAACTCGGGAACCGACGTTTGATACGTGCAATCTACAATTAATTTTGTTTCATATCTCACTTATCGCTTAAGGCCTAATCAGATAATGCATTTGTGTTATTGTTTTTATTGTTTATTCACTATTTCTGTATAGTGACATAACTTCTACATTTAGTGTAAGCAGGTAAGTGGTATAGCGAATTAGAGCAAACAATGAGATGGTTAATTCTCTCAGCAGCAAATGAAATTGTTCTAACAAATCAAATGTATTCCTACCGATTTGGGAACTTTTCGTGTTTCAATAGTAAAGGTTCCTTTATAAGACTTCTCACACAGTCCCAACATACTATGAAAATATGTTTCTTTAGTCTATATCTCATATGAATGATGACTCATGTCCCTTTACAACAAACCCCTGCAACCCCCCCCCCCCCTCCGTCTCCCTCCCTCCTGGCCTAGAATATTCCCACGGTATGTTTACAACTTAAGAAAAAATGGATACATTTCAGTCAATTTGAAGTGAACTTTTCAAGGTCTCCTTTGAAAGTAATTCAATAATTTATTAATGCTTATCTTTACTCCCACTCCCTAAAAATATTACTTTTCTGTCAAAACATTTTCTTCTTTTTCCAACCCACAGCTGACACAGGTTCCTATCAGAATTCAAACAGATGCAGCACAGCAGTTTAATCATTAATTTCTTTCAAATAATGAAATAAAAAGACATAAGCAATAACTGTTTATACTAACATTGTCATCCGCATTGTTTGAGAGTGAAAAGATGACGCACAGAAATCATATGTAACCAGGAGCGCTTCTAGAAGAATTTCGTTTTTGGTGGTTGGAGGGCTTTGGTTGGTTTGCGGGGGATTTGGTAGTTGCTGCATTAATGCACCCTCGAAACTTTTAAGGGGATTTAAGACATCAATGATAATAATAATAATAATAATAATAATAATAATAATAATAATAATAATAATAATAATAATATGTCTTGTTTACCCAGGGTAGCCTCATCCGTATTCATACTGTTCTCCCTGAGGGCCCTGAGCCCCCCCCCAAAAAAAAAGAGAACCGTTACTGCATACGTTGAGATTTGTGTCGTATCTGAATGCATATTTGCAATGTGCTCGTTGAACTTTCGTCCATTACCCTAATACTAGCCTATAATCTAGGCGGAGTGCCGAGCTTTACCCTAATACAGGCTCATTGACGCATAATATAAAAACACTTATAACGATACCTTCAATATATAGTGACAGGTTATGAACATTTTATCAGCATGCTAAACAATCTAAGTCCATATAGATATCCTATGCCATTATTTTTAACATTTCAATGTTATAATGATAGATAAATTATATATCACACAAGCTTGCTTGGGAATGGTTTAATCAGTAAAAAATAATGTAAGGCCTGACCCTCTTTCGTAAATTGAAGTATCGATAACAACTGCCACTGATCTATTAATAAATTACCATATAACTAAACGAATGCAAGTATTTCAGTAGCTAATGATAAGTATTGTATCTTAAAATATCAAGATTTATGTAAAAGGGCCCAGTGTGCAAAATTATTGGTGGGTCTATTCTTGGAGGATATACGTGTATTATGGGAGACAATCATTTTTGTTTAAATGCATGTGACTGCTTTTAATTGTAATGCAAAACGAAGAGATAAAAATACATGAGGTGTGTGTGTGGGGGTGCGCGCGCCATTGTGTGTGATAGTTTTCTTGTAATCAATTTTATATTGATGATGATCGAATATTTTGCATTTTAAATTGTTTGATTTGTATTTGATTGTATTGTAGGGTAGGGGCTGTGCGCGCGTGCTCGCGCGTGTGTTTTGGTGTGGGTGTGGGTGTGTGTGTGCGTGCGCGTGCGTGTGCGTGTGTGTGTGTGTGGGTGAGCGTGTGTGTGTGTAAATCCAAATGGAGGATTCCCTCAAAATGCAGTTGCGGTCGATAGTTAAGGGTAAAGTTTCAACTTCGACAATTATGATCATTCAGTGCGCTCAACAATAGATAGAAACAGTAAATAGAAATAATACAAAATAATAACAATTGTATTAAAACACTATTAGTACTACTTCTAATTTTGATAATAAACATAATGATAAGGAAACAAAAAAGAAGATGGAGAAAAGGAGAAGAAGAATAAAAAGAAAGATAAGAAGTAAAAATAAGCAGAAAAAAGGAAGTAACAATTATTATCACACCCAAATCGTAGTTTCACTACATTGCACATCCGCCCTCATATAGTTTGAAACAAGATCGTCACTTTTAAGTGGTCAAGTTGGTACCCTTTTATTAATTCTGACGGTACTTCATCATGTTTATAGCAGCGAAGCACTTGGAATAACCGTGAACCTCGGTTAATACATCGTCGGATTGAGAGTTTGAATTTCTGGTTCCAGATAGGGGTGCAAGATGCCTGCGCCCGTCTTTGGGGAGGTGGGGACAACTTCGCCGGGGGCAGCATCATCGGTTCGAGCTGAACGCATGATAGCATTACTGAAAATCATGTTATGATGTATCCTCTTCTATCGTCTATACATGTTGCCTTTCACCTTCTCCATTTCTATCCCTCCCCCCCCCCCTCCTCCCCCCCCCCCCTCTCTCTCTATTTCTCTCTTTCTCTTTCTCCATCTCTCTCTCTCTCTCTCTAAATATATATATATCCTTAATTTTCTCTTTCTTTGCTATCAGATGGGGGCACCTGGCCCCGTAGCCACCCACTGCAGAAGAATAGCCGGAAATTTTGCATTTTTTTCATCATCAGTTTAAGAAAACGCCCCATTCTCGTCTGAGGGGGCGGCAGGGGGTTCCCTATAATGTTTTTCGAGATGCAGGTCAAGGAACGTTTGAAGGCCATTTTACTTGAAGAATAACTCGATACGGTGCTAGAGGAGAGGTGAATCATCATTATCATTTTAGTTCCCTGTAACATCGGTGATCTTGTTTGGAGCTTGGAAAGACGTATAATTTGAAGAGGTAAAATGGTGCCCTTTCTGCTCGCTTTGATCATAATTGGAGTCGCAGCTAGGACGAAAGGTAAGTGACCATTTCCATGGTACATTTCATCCGATGATAGGTACATGCAACGATGAGCTTATCGATAAAACAGCAATTGTATGATAACAAAATATGAGGCTTAATAACATGTTAAGTTAGTCAGGCTTTTCGAATGTTATGTTGATTGAATCTTTTCGAGATATGATAAGTGTATTCTTCAAAGATTATTTATGCTCTACACTTTTTAAACATTCAAATATCACTTATATAATAGATATTACTAAACGTACAATACTCAAATAGTAATAGAAAGGCTATATATATGCGCTTAGCATTTTTACAAGATGCTGATAAGTAATGCCTCCAAAGTGTTATTGTAAATTAAGCTAAGTTTAAAAGAAATTTAGTTTTTATATCTACCAGTCATCATTAACGGCACATTAACAAGCGTTGTAAAGTACATAGTTTTCAAGAAAACATGTAAAAATACAAAAGTGATTTAACCCTCCCTTCCTTTCTCTTCTCACCCGCCCCCCCCCCCCCTTCCCACTTGTTTCCTTTTCTCTGATTCTCACTTTCCTTCTCTCTCTCTGTCTTTCAACCTACATGTCTTCCCATCTAAATCTATATTTATCTATATTAATCTCTCTCCCTTGCTCCCTCCTTTACCCCATCCCCTCTCTCTCTCTCTCTCTCTCTCTCTCTCCCTTACAATCTCTTGTTTTTCTTTCTACTATCTCTATCTACATCTCTCTTCTACTCCGCTCCCTTTCACTCTCACCTTTTCCCCTTGCTATTCCTCCATAAACATTCCACCACTCCCTTTGTCTCTCTCCGCCTCAAAGCTCGGCGAAACACCGGCAACATCCCGGGCGACGACGAAGACGGGTACCAACTCGACGTCAATCTCTACGAACTCTGTCACGACATGACAACATATGACGGCGGGATGGTCGACTTCGTGGTCGAAAACATCTGCCCGTTGGTCTTCGGTGATGAGGAGAAAGGCTCTCACTGGCCGGGCAGTGGGCCTGATATTTCAACCTTCACAGATTTAGGTATGTTTGTGATATGTTGATGATGATGATGAT